TAGGGAAATATTTGGGAGCTCAAAGTGCCCTTGAATGCTTTGCTGCCGTCATCTTCTACTCAACTTGGAGCAAACGGTAGAATATGCTACAGCTTGACTGTAAGGCTTGGGACCTACCTTCCTTTCTGACCCCCTTTTAGAGTTCTTCTGCCTCAACGTTGCTGTGACCCTGACTGTGGCCAATTCTCAATTCGTTTGAGGCACAGAAAGTCAGAACTAGCTCTTGTATGAGAAGCATGTTTAATCTACAATATTTTATGAACCATTTGGGGTAGGCATGAATGTTCCATCTAATAGAAGTGCTGGGAATTCTCTTTTCAGTAAGATACACTACTTATCTCTAACTTTACTAGAGATTGCAATATAAGCCCATAACAATATAGAATGAAGACATACAGAAATGTTTTTTCATTTAATTTATAGTGTTTTCTAAAATGCCTTCATGTTTTTTCCTCCCTCAGAGATGTGTGTAGAAACTGACTAATGATTCAGAGATGTGAAATATTGCATCAATAAGATTTTTTTGGTGCTTTCTTTTCCTGAATCAAAAAGCATTCCTGAAATATTACCTATAAAATGTGAGGCAAAATTACCCTACCAAACACATTTTCTTGGGAGGTGCTGAGTAACTCACAGCACTGATAATAGTGATTAATGTGGTCTGCAAACTCCTGCTGGCAAGATCTCGACACAGAATCACACAAACAAGGAATATGTTGGTCTTTCACTCAGCTGCCCTCCTGCAGGTATTTGTAAATTCACAGGCAAAAAGTGTAAATACTTCTAGCTGAAGTAGAGTAGCAACACTAATAATGCTTACATTGTAAGCTATTTTCTTAATGCTTGGTTAAATCAAGTTAATTTTTTGTAAATTAATTTACAATTTTTCTATTTCTTTTGACTTTTCATATCAAAAGACAAGAAGGGTACATGTCCTAATCTAAGACTAATTTCATTCATTGCCATTTTCTTTGGATTTTTTTATTTGTTCAAGTGTTACAGCTTTTCCATTTTTCAGTTAGAGTAATTTTTTTCTTCACCTGTTTTGACACATTTCAGACCTAAGCGTTTTTCTTCCTTCCCTGACTGTTAATGGTACATGTGTTTTGGACATTTATCTTCCGTACTCTCAGGTTTGTGCAGAGGTAAATAATTAATTTCCCTTTTGTTGTCAATTTTCTTATTTCCTTAAACAATTTTTTCTTTTCCTTTTCTGACAACCAATCTTTTCTGCCATCCTTTCAGAAACCAACTGATGATCTTTTGTGTTGTATGCATTTGCAATATGCTGTTCTGTAACTACCTCTTTGCTTCAAAGAATATACCTGTTCTGGAAATGGGATGATCTTCCATTTTGTCTGAAAACACTGTCCTTGAAGTTTTTTTGGTGACTTCTGTGGTTGCTATTCTTTCCCATTGCAGCTGTCATGTAGTTTTGGCATCTTCCACTCTGTGGAATAGCAGGAATGCTATTTCACTTTAGCGTGCTTTCCGTGCAAGACAATGAACTATGTTATCCTGGAGAGACGCTGGAAGGCTGTGCAGAGCTCTTTTCAACTAATCTCTTTTCGTTTAGGACCAGCTTTCTAACATCTGTTAGAAAGTGCTTGGAGGAAATGCCATGGGTATTCAGTTGTTGTTTATCGAAATCACCCTGTTACTAGCTTGTGGGTACACTCTTTTGAAAGGGAAAGTTGATTGCATGACCCAGGTAGAAATTCATTGTCATCTTCCATCTCCCTCACTCTCTCCTGGCTTCGTCACTAAGGTTTTTGAAGATACTGCATGTCTGTCTCTTTGTTTGGATTTTAGTTGCTGAGTTATTCAGCATAGCCCTGAGGCTGATATGCTCTTCTAAGCAAAGGTGCTTTAAAATTGAGAATCCTAGACTCTTGAGATTAATTTTGTGGATTTGGACTCTAGGGCCAACACACGTTCATCTCCCTTCTACCTCATCTTTTGCCCTGCCAGAGAAAATCATGATGATTACCTCTGCACCAAAGTCCTTTTATCTCTGCAGGCCAGACAATCCCCATTTTGGCTGAAAGACTTGTGGATCCTGAAGGCAAAGGTGTTAGTACAGAGACTAAATGGAATGGTGGGGATAGTAAATGCAGTTCTCTTGGACTCTGATTTGACTTTTTATAGTTCAGTGAGCCAAGGAATCTAGGACAAGGTTATTTTCTTGAGGTAGTTAATGGAAGGCCTTGAGTTAGGAGAATCACCATGGTGTCTTTCAAGGAACACATTACATTTTCCTCTCAGAATACGGTGGTGATCCAGATCTCAATCAAATGTCTATGATGAGAGGCAACAACAATAGTATCAGGCAAGAGAAACAGAACCTTCTGTGCCTTAGAGAGCTCATAAAAATGGGAAATGTGAAGTGCATTGATTATTTAAAAAAGTACATACGTTCAGATGCATTTTGTTGCTACTCTCAACCACTCCATGTTCTGAATTTGTAAAAAAAAGCCCTGTCTTGACAAAGGGGGTCTGTAACGAGATATGTACATGTAGATTGTCCAAAGTTTACCATACTGCCAGCAAATATTGAGTGTCCTCAGTTGTTTTCAATGGAATATACTACAGCAGATGCATTATCTTTAATAATCCACAAAAAAGGAAATTAAGAAAATGAAATTATTATAAAATTATTATTTCCACGCTAAGTTGTAAGATGGGACCTTTTTCAAGGTGTGGGAGATGTTTAGGATAAGAATCTAACCAATGATGCTAAGAACCCTGTGGTATTTCCAATACTGGTAATTTCAGAGGAGAAGTAATATAGATATTTTGGCGGGGTGGGGAGGTTGCACTGGGACTGACGTTCAGGTATGCAAGCTGCAACGTCCATCAGAAAATCTCTCTCGTAAGATGCAGCCAGCAGTACCACTCTAGAATATCATTGTGATGTTCCCTGGACTTTCCCATTTCTGCCTCTTCATTTTAAAGTGTGAGAATGGCTTTCATTTCTGGCGCTCTGGTCAGTGGCCTGTCAGTAGACATCTAAGGCCATCTGGATGAGCTGGCATGTCCCCTCCAGTTAGCCATTTACAGTGGTATGTATTCTTAGTATGCCTCAGAATTTTGTTCCCAGGGTAACCCGCTTTCTTTGGCTCTCATAGTAATGAGAAAATAACTGGAAAAAACTAACTTCCAGAGCAGTCAATGCTGACTTTTTATACAGGTGGACTCTGGATTTCTGTAAGTCTCTTTTTTTTTTTTTTTATCCATTCTTTTTCCTCTTTCTCAGTGATTCTGTGAATGGTTCAGTGCTTCACTAGGGCTATTTATTTAACAACGTCCAGTGACGTGGATCAACTTTCATAGTCAGTTGATATTATGAAGTTCACATCCTTTTATGACGAATTAAGAGGCAATCCCAAACAGCACAAGTATTTTTTCCTTTCTTATTGTGGCTACTTATTAGGACCATCTGTCTTTCCTAGATAGATGGAGAGAGAGGGAGATGATTTGGAGTAACTCGTGCTTTTAATTTCTTGGCTGTTATAAGTTTGGGGGGAAGGGAGAGAGGAAGATGTGTCACTTAGAAATTCCTTGTTTTCTATATGTACCAGTCTTCGCTTTCCTAGTTAGCTAATACTGAAAGACCCACACTAGAAACCTCTAAGACCCCTAGTTATTACATCCACTTTGGGGGAAAAAATTTACTCTAACTAAATGCCATAAAATCTTTGCAAAATTGAATATTATTGTAACCATTAATCTTGTTAGCTAGGAGATTGTGCTTTATTTAATGTGAAGTTTCAGCTATAATTCTACTTGCAGGTGCCCAAGGGTGGGGAGTAGCATTAATCCCACTATTTCTGTTAATCTTTCATTCCTTTCCTGGTTCACCATGTTTATTGTTCTTTCAGAGCCTGAGATTTTTGCTAGATGTGTGTTATAATGCTAATTACTGGAGGGTACTATCATTGACTGTAGAAATAGAAGTAATACATTGTTGTAATGTATGAAGTTCAGATTTTCTCGTGACCTTTGCCAGAAGTGAAGGAACTTCAGATCCAGGGCTTTGTTCAATTTCTGTTTCCTTTCCTTTCCCCAAACGGTGTAGCATGTTAAGTATTTGTTATTAAAAGGAAAGGAAAACATGCTGACAATAATGGCAGACCAAGAACTTCATTAAAAGAACTGCCTTGGTAATGGTGGGCCAGCTCGGAAACCTGCTCTCGGAAATAAAATAGAATGCAGTTCAGTAGTTGTGCCACACAGTGTCACAGTTGGACTTCACTTTCACTCCGTATCTCTCCCCTTGTAGGTGAAGATATTTACAAAGCCAGAGAAGAGCAGTCTGAAATGTGGGGGGCAGCTGAAGTGCAGGAAGATGAAGATACTCGTGTAGAAGTTCCACTGGACCAGGTATTGATCGAGCTTTAAATAAATGTGGTTTTTTAGGATCACAGGTTGTGTGTTCTTTTCCTTTTCCCAGTTTCTTTCAAGTGTACAGTGTAATTCTGTAGGGATGATTGTAACAGCTCAATGATGTGGCTTCTTTTATGGGAGCTTTAGCAAATCTTCCTTTATCTGTTAATGTGTCAAAGTTACTTTTGCATCATACATCAGCATGAGAAGTGCTTCGAGAGCCCTTATAGGGCCTTAGAGAATCAGGATTCCCTGCCTACCAGGTAGATCCACCTGGACTGCAGTTCCTTTATACTGGTGGAGTAGTGTGAAGGGACTGTGGCACAGGATCAAGGTTAGAATTCCTGCAGTCCTGCACCACAAACAGGTGCAGATTTGTCTGATTCTTTTAAAGCTGCCAGCACTTTCTTCTGTTGGAACAACAGGGTACTTAGCTGGCCAACTTTTTCATTGTAAGACTTATGTGCAATAAATAGGTCTTGATAACTAAACATGAGATTATGTACTCTTTGTTTTACTTTGATTCAGTTTTAAAAGAAACTCCTGTGAACTGAAATACAGGAAATGGGTAAGTTGAAGTGTATTCCAATGAAGTGAAGAGTAGAACTGCTTAAATTATTTGCTGAAAAGTTACTTTTTTTTTTTTTTTTTGCTAGTGAATTGCTCACAAGACAGTCCTCTTCTCATCTTACATGTTTGTAGGGATTTTCCAGCTTGTTCGACTTCGTGTCCAGTCCACAAGACGTTGCATTATGCCTTTGGTGTCTGTTGGTAATGGCTTGAGGCCATACACTGAGGCCACAAGACAGTATTTCTGATCCATGGTGCAGTGTAAGGAATCACAGTTTACCCAACAGATTTCTCAGGCTAAAAATCATCTCAACAACACAGGAGATTTTTGAGCATTTTTCTGACTTCCTGGTGGTCAGCTCAGTGCGAGGAACATTTGTTAATGTGAGATAGTAAAAGTATATTGCATTTATTTACAACACAGGGAACGAACAATTCAGAAGATTTTTAGAGTGTGTTGGAGACAATTTTTTGATGTAGGTTGTGGGATACATGACTAGGAGAGGCATTCTGCTAGATTTGCTACTCCCGAATAAAGAGAAACTGGCTGGGGATGTGATACTCCATGGCAGCCTTAGTTGCAGTGGCCATGAGACAACAGGGTTTAAGACTCTGAAGGAAGTGAGGATGACAAATAACAAAATAAAAATCCTGGAACTCAGGAGAGTAGACTTTGGCTTGTTGGGGAAACTGTCAGGAAGTATGCTCTGTAAGGTTGCCCTGAAGTGCAGAGGAACATGGGTGATCTGGTTGATGTGCAAGGGCATCTTCCTCAAAGCACAAGAACTATCCCCAAACACAAGAAAACAAGCAGGCATAGCAGGAGGCCGGTTTGAACAGAGGACTCCTGACCTCATCCTAAAAGAGGTAGAGCGTGGTAGGTAGAAGAGGGGATGGACTGCATCCTTTCTATACAAAGGAATTGTATACAGATATTGCCTGGGCATGCAGGGATGAAATTTGGAAAGCCAAAGCTTGTCGTGAAATGGAAACTGATGCTTGTGATTGGGAATAGCCAACATGGATTTCCTATGGGCAAATCATACTTGACCAACCTCTTTGCCTCAGTGATGAAATAACTGGCTCTGTGGATGAAGGGAGAGCAGTTATTGTTATTTATCTTGCTTTCAGCGTAGACTGCCATATCTGTGGGAGAAATTGGAAGAAGTGTGGTAGATATGGGGAGGAAGATATCCTTAAGGAAGGTAGGGACTGGATTTGTGGGCTACAAGATGGATGAAAAATGGACTGGTTCGATGGGACTTAAAAGGTCAGCTGGTTGAAATTTAACTGGCACCTCTTTATGGATGGTGGGTTTGATACCGGGTCTTATACTTTTTAACGTGTTCATCAGTAACATCAATGATGGCATAGGATGTGGCCTTATCCAGGCTCAGTAGTAAAGCCAAACTGTCATTGTCAGGTGATATGCAGGGCTGCCTCCGTTGAGGTGCAGGAAGAAAATGTTAAAACTTCAATAGTTACATGTATGTCATTTATAAATAAGTCAATATACATATATCGGGTGTACGCGCACAAAAATTTTTTACTGGTAGGGATGTGCAGTCAAAATAATTTGGAGACCACTGCTCTAGAGGTTTCTTCCAACCTAATTTTTCTGTGATTCTGTATTTGCTCATCTTTGATTATTTCAGTCCTACAATAAACTTATTTTTAGTAAGCTTTGGTTTTTTTGTGTTTACTATTTAGCTGGCTGTTTTTTTCAATTTCTTTGAATTGCGTAAAAGAGTACTAGATATATACATTTTTCTTTTGTTCTGCCTCTAAAAAAGGCCTGAGAGGAAAATAGACAGAAGCTTCATGAGCTTATACTTTGTTTTAATTTCTCCCTATGATACCAGTCTGTACATTAATAAAAGCCACTATGAAGTTGCTGCTGTAGTCATTATGAAGAATGGCAACACACTCCTCTGGACAAAAAGTCTGGATCTCTCAATTTTAGTTTAGGCTGCTTTTTCTGAGAAGACCCATTCTCAGTATTTAATGGGAAGAAGTGTTGCTCAGCTGTTTTATAGACATGGCTCTAGAAGACACATGAATCGGGTGATTGAAAGAGGCAAGAGCATGACTGTCCAGATCCCTGATATACAGAATAGTACAGCTGTGTCTTTTCACAGCAAATACTGCCTTGGCCTCAGAGACGTATGTGCTAAACACCACTGGGCTCATCAGCCCTGTCAACTGCAGTTGTCCTTGTGAGGTGGTGCAATTATTAGGTTGTGTTGGGTTGTACTGATAGTACTGACATTGGGGAAGAACATGTCGCCTGTAGTCTTAATCTTTTTTTTTTATGACATCCTGAAGTATATCCTGCCCTAGTCTTGACAGCGTAATAACAAAACTGAGAAATGATTAGCCTGTTTGTTGGCCTCCGAAGGTGCATGAAGAATTGCTCTGGGTAGCATAAAGTGTTTGACAGTGTAAATTGAGTTGTCAGGTCTTAGTTTTTAGGTTGACTGCAATTCATATGAAATACAAGAACCCTGGAGATTGTGGCCTTACTTCTCCGTGGAGATTCTACAGGCAATGGCTCTGCCAGGGGGTCTCACCAGTTTGCCTCAGCCAGAAGGTGGTGACTTTGAGGAGCTACTGGAGAGAGTCCAGTGGAGGGCGACGAGGATGATCAGGGGACTGGAGCATCTCTCCTATGAGCAAAGGCTGAGGGAGCTGGGCTTGTTAAGCCTGAAGAAAAGGCTGAGAGGGGACCTTAGAAATGTTTATAAACATCTTAAGGGTGGGAGTCAGGAGGATGGGGCCAGACTCTTTTCAGTGGTGCCCAGCGACAGGACAAGGGGCAACAGGAACAAACTGAAGCACAGGAAGTTCCGTCTGAACACGAGGAAGAACTTCTTCCCTCTGAGGGTGATGGAGCCCTGGAACAGGCTGCCCAGGGAGGTTGTGGATTCTCGTTCTCTGGAGATACTCAAGACCCGCCTGGACGCGGTCCTGTGCAGCCTGCTCTGGGTGACCCTGCTTCGGCAGGGGGGGTTGGACTAGATGACCCACAGAGGTCCCTTCCAACCCCTAACATTCTGTGATTCTGTGACTGTCAGCTGGGAGGGCAGAATAGCTAACTCTCCACTGCCACCTCTGTACTCGACACTGGTAGCTGTGGTTGTTGATACAGTCACCAGTGAGCATCGGTTGTGCTGGCAACCTTGCAAGGCTAGGAGTTTTCTTGACGTCTAAGCTTGTGTACCAAGGCCCATGCATCATCCTCGGATGCAAATATTTTTCAGTTGCTACCAACTGATTTTTCTACCTGGACAAGTAACTGGAAGCAGGTGTGTTTGAGGGGGAAAAAGAAATTTAAAGAATCAGGAATGCATGCTATTAATAATCTGATCTTCATACTTGCAGAAAAGCCAAACAAAGCACCAAGATTTATTGCAACCCAAGCCATGGTTTCTTTCTCATTTTAAAACTTCATGCATAGTTTCCTAGGTAATCTGGCAAGAAGCGAGGTCCTTCTGAGTAGCACTGAGTACTTTTTATTCCCAGATAACCGAGGTTACTCAGACGTTGGAAGCATTTAGTATTTCACATGTTCAGATTCTTATTAATGACCGTTTTAAATTCTGTGATGTAAAGCTTTATAGCTTTTTCTTATCTGAACTGCGGTTTCTGTTATTGCTAGAAATATGGAAAAGGACAGCCAGCCAGGGCTTGACTATCTTGCATAACACATAAATATTTACTTGCCAGCTTTCACTAGAATGCTGACAATTCTGATATGCTATCATTTCCATCAGCTACATAAATAAGGTGGTGAAGGTAGAGCTTAACATTTTTTCTTTTAATGCACCTTCCCTGTCTTGCCATTTGAAGTACTCAGCTGAGCAAATGCTACATTAGCCATTACTAAACTTAGTGTAACACTGGCTAGACACCCGCTTATGTCCTATTCTGTAAAGTGCTGTCTGCCAGCTGAGAACACATCAAAAGAATGGGATTTGCTTTACTCCAGGCTAGCTGACAGTTGTAATTGAACATCAAGGAGGAAAAATCAGTGTTTTGCCTAAAACCAAACCAGACCCTTCTCTTCTATATTCTGCACCAAGACTTCGGCTTCCAAATACGAAATGGATAGTTTCTTCTTTTGACATGCAGACTAACTCCAGGTTGGTTGTTTACATCACTGTGTCAACATCCATAGGAGCTGATGACAGCCTATGAAATCTGTTGTGCAAATAGCAAGACAATAAGGTGGTTTTATTGCAGTTCTTGGTAGGGAGGCAGCAAAACAATACAAGTTTCTTATCTGAAATGGTAATTAAGTGCGTTACTTTGAGTTTGCTGATAATATAAATATACTCAAAGTAACTTTCCGAGATAGAAAATTTTCTAACTTAGAAATCTTTCAGAAGAAACTAGTACTTTTTCTTTAATTTTGTATAAATTGTGAA